GTACACACAGCAAAGCTCAGTTGACAAAAGCCAAAAGGACTCCTTATTGTAGACGAACAAGCAAATAGCAACTCGACAAAGCAAATTCTGACAATGCTTTAGCAGCGTGAAGTTTTGATCCCCAATTTTGTAGGTGTTTAATTTTATCATGGAAATTGAACCAAAATTGTGATTTTAATTTTGAAAATGGGCTCAGTTGAATCTTTTGATCTGTGTTTTGGGTTTAAATGTAGCATTAATCTAAAAGTCGAGCCATGCTCAAAAAACACACTCATTAAAAATCGATTCAAAGTTGACAAAGTTGTGGAAAATATTGACTCATTTCTACATGGTATACTAAAGCAGGAAAGGAATGGAAATCGTAGCGTTTTGCTACAGTTGATGGAGCTGATGGCCCCTGTGATTGACGCCCCACTGAAAAGCGGAGATTGGCTGGCGAAAAGCTGATAGCCAGCTGCGGAGAGCGGGGCGAGTTTAAGGGTTTAAGGAGGGGCTTGGCAGATGCGACGCCAACAAGAAAAAAAGGCGCGCAACATGTCCGAGATGAGGTGAGATGAATTGAGAACCATAACCAGCTACAGTCCAAGGTAACAGCATAGAGTGATGCCACAAAACTGCACTCCAGACACTAGACGCCCAACTCCAGATGCAAGTGGATTTTAGCGTCTGCGACTGGGTCTTGAAGGATGGCTGCCCTGTGATGGCTGGTTGGTTGGTTGGCTGGAAAGGGAGCGCACACTTGAGTCTCAAGTTGATTGATGTGGTCGCTGTTGGGTCTGATGGCAGAGGGATTGCGAGAGCGAGAGCTATGGCCAAAGTCAGTTAGTCAGGCAGGCAGGCAGGCAGGCAGGCAAGCAGTTAGCCATATGGTCCACATGGAGCAATTGCCAGATTAAATCACTCTTCAGCCACTGACAGTTAATCAAGGCGGCACGGCGAAAAACATTCAAGGTGCCCTGACTGCTTGGCCTGGCCTGGCCTGGACTGGTCGGGCACTCTGGCACTCCTCTGTCGGCTGCAACCGGGACGACAAGCATCGAGTCGCGTCGCGTCGCGTCGCGTTGCGTTGCAATGCTCCCCTCTCCGTTGCCGGCAACTTGCAACTTCCGCCTGCTCCAATTGTTTGCGCATACAAAGAAGCGTCGCATTCGCAGCGTTCGTCGTCATCGTCATCGTAGTCGTCGTCGTCGTTGCAGCAGCAGCGATATAATCCAAACAAACATATTGTTTTGTCTGCCACGGTCTGGCCTGCATCCACCACCACCTACCCCCTACCCCTGCCCCCTGTCTCACCACTCACCTCTGTGTAGCCACCCCAAATGCTGCTGCTGCTGCTGCATTGTCTGTCTGTCTGTCGATTGTTGGCCGCCGTTGACGTCGCTCTTGGCTGCAACAAAAGCAGCAGCAGCAGTCTGAAGTGCAGCAAGCAGCAGCAGGGCAAAAACTGGAAAACATAGCTGGAGAGCAGAGCCGGGGAATGGGCTAGGGGGGCAGAGGGGATTGCACAGCGGAGACGAGCTCAGCATGCAGTTTTGTGTGTGACTGTGTGTGTGTGTCTGTGTGTGTGTGTGTGTGTCGCTTGGGTTTGGCATTTATTTTTTATATATTTTTTGTCATTTTTATACACTTGCATTGCATTTTATAAGTTTGTCATGCAAAATGTGACGCATTCAAGCAGTCAACTCTGAAATAATAAAATAATATCATATATATATATATATATATCATCCACTACAACCACTAACTAATATATGGGATCCCAATGATCAGTCGAAAATTATAAAGTTGGACAACACTTTAATATTTCAAGTTGATTTTCCCTTGTCTTATAATAATTATCACAACAGTCATCATTTTCTATTCCAGATCAGTCTAAAAAGATATAGTTTCTAACTTTATATAACATTGATTGCCACTTAATGAGACTTTTCTCTTCCAAGTTGGGTTTCCCATATCTTATAACAATCATCAGCTTTGATTTCTCTTCTTATCTTCTTTGCTCTCATTTTATAATAATAATCTCAGCTTTATTTAATTCCTGTTCCCAAATATCTTTAGAGTATTTCAACTTCGGTTTTCGACGCTTCTCTCTTATTTTTTGTCTGTTTTCTTTTTTTTTAACGCAGGCCAAGCTTATTGGAGCCGTCTGGAACATCAGGTTATTTTTGTTGTTGTTTTGTTTTTTGGGTTGCAGTCAATTTGGTGTCGTAGCATGCAGCTTGCTGTCAGTGAGCTCAGCTGTGGCAGCATGTCCTGCGCTGAAGTGCATTTCACACAGGACGATAAATGAGCGGCGACAATTCGATGAGTTACAGCTCAGCTACTTGTGCGCTCTCTCACTCTCTGTCTCCCTCTCTCTCTCTCTCTCTCTCTCTCTCTCTCTATCTCTCTCTCTCTCTGTATCTCTCTTTCTCTCTAGCTTGCCACTGCCTTCTTCATTAAACCTTGCAACAAGAGCACTTTTGTGTCAGTCAGCAATTCGTCTACGTCTGCATTTCAGCATCTTCCCGCTCCCCCTCTCTCTCCCTCTCTCACTCTTTCTCTCTAAGACCCCCCTCAACCCATGGCAGTCTCCCCACCTAAAACAGTTTTTCAGCTCCATTTTGAAGTTGTCTGCGTCTGAGACACCGGCGACAACAACACGAAGCAACAACAATGTTGCCCAGGCGGCCTTTTAGTTTAAGTTTGTAGTCATTGTCTGGTCTGGTTTCGGTTTGGGCCTGGTCTGTGCCAGAGTCTGGTCTGGTCGTGGCTAAGTAGGTTGGCTGGCTGGCTGGCTGGCTGGCTGACTGAATGCTGCCTAGCCAGGAACTGAGCACCTTCATTCCCCTCCGCTGGCTGGTATGGCGCGTCTATGTCTACGCCTGCTTTGTTATTCATATTATCCGGCAAATATTTGTCGTTGTCATACGAAAAATGTCTACAAAAATATAAGAAGCAAAAAAAAGGGTTGATTCGTCAGCGCCTCGATAAACCCCTTTTCGTCTGCACTAATGGCCGCAATTGTGGCTGTGCACTCGCTCCCTCTCCCTCATACTGTCTCCATCTCTCTCTCTCTCTCTCACACTCTCGCTATTGTATACCCTCTAATCAAATAGTTGAAGGGATCTGTGAATCCATAGGTTGTATATAGTCTTGATTGGAGTGATTGATTGCAAAGACTATAACAATTTGGCATATGGATTGCGTCTACCAACCACAGAACTGTTTTTCGATAAGAAATTATCGATAAAAATCGATGAGAAATACATGAATATTGTGTAACTAGCTGTTATGGCTCTGGTTTTTGACAAACAATGATCAACAAACTAGAAATATACACTCCAGGCTTGCTCCCATTACAGAGTATGTGCTAGTCGTGCACTCTTAGCTTGTTCGGCTGCTCGCAGTATGTTTTTGTCTGTCTGTCTGTTTTCCCCGACCCAAATCGACGTCTGCAACAATTGCACGGCAGCATTTGCTGTGTGCTGATTACACTTCCATATCCTGCTTTGCCCTGCTACCCCCCTGCGCCACATAGAGGCAGACACTTGCCACTGGTAGTGGCACTGCAGCAGCAGTAAGAACGGCAGTAACAATTTCTTAACATCGCCACAAACCGTCTCGACTGATAATATCTTAATAGATTCTTTTGCTTCAGCTTCAGCTTCATTTGCATTTGAATTCAGCTGTGCTTCGGCTTCGGCTTCTGCTTCTGCTTCTGCATCTGTTTCTGCATCTGCTTCTGATTCTGCTTTTACTTCAGAATTCTGTCATTCCGTCAACGCTTCCATTCACTGAGTCAACATCAATGCCTCAATTTTATCGTAAAAGGGGTTTCCGTTTGCTTACTTGCCTTCGCCGGCTTCATCTACTTCATCTCCTTCAGCTTCATCAGCTTCTTCATATTCTATTTGGGTCTGCAAACTGGCTCAGTGCAATTTGTATAATGAGCACGATTTCTATTATGGTTGGCACACACAAGTCTTTGACTTTCAGCACCTTCTTTTTATATTCTTTTATTTGTTCTTATTGTGTCTGTTTGCCTACCTCATCCTGGTTATTTACTTTACCTTACTTAACCATCTCGGCCCTCTGCTGCTGTCTCCTTATCAATCTGCCAACAATATTGCATGTTATCGGAAGCAGATTGCTTGTTTTATGGTTAGTTTCTGTGATAAATGAGCTTGATTAATTCCGGATTACAAAAGCTATGCAAAGAAATGATTCTAAACAGCTTCTGTGTAAAAATACTTTGTTTTTATGTCTTCGATTCCGGAGGAATATACATATATATGTGCTGGATCAGCCACACTAGCCGATTCAACTATCAACCTTTCTATCTGTTTATCTATCTATCTGTCTATCTATATATCCATCTATCTATCCATCTATCTATCTATCTATCTATCTATCTATCTATCAACTATCTAAATCCATTTGTCCGCCCTTCTCACTATTACATACTATTATATATTGAGAAGTGCAGATTGAAAGGCATACAAATTTGAACAAAATCCAAACCATTAGTAGTACATTTAACAACACTGGCATTTGGCACTTGATCAGTGCCCAGCACTGATGACTCCCACTTCACATTGATCTCTCATAAAATAATGGATTTTCTCCGTTGGGGCAATAATGGTGGACAATGGGCAGCTGAGTTCTGCTAATGAATTTTTGAATGCAAGTCGCTGTTCAATGGGCAGCTCATTAAAGCAATGATGATGAAAGCGCACATTGTGTGCTAAAGCAGAAGACGATGGACGACGACGCAGCTAACAACAATGGGGCCAGACAATGTGGCATCATCTCGAGCCCAGTTGCAGTCGCAGTTACAGTCTGAGTCATAACTCATTGAACTTTTGCCGGCAACACAACAATCAGGCAACAAGGCAACAAGGCAACAGGGCAACAACAGCAGCAGCAGCAGCAGCAGCACCATCAGCAGCAACATAAAAAGTGTCAATCAACGCCAGCTAACTGATGCCCCCTCCACCCCCACATCCCAACCCACTCACAGCTTCTCTTCCCTTGCCCCAACCCAGCTCTTTGTCCAGCGTTGTATGATGATGCCAAGTGCGATGACGCCGCCTTAAGCACATTAGAAGCGACGACAAGCGTCGAGTCAGAGTCGTAAATGTGGTAATAATAATGGTCGCCATGGGGCACATATCTACTCCTCCTCCTCCTGGTTGTTGTTGGGTGTCGAAAGGCGGCAAGACATTAAAGTCGCAACATATGTTTAGACGGACAGCGAACAGATCTATTACCACCAGCCAACCAATTGCTGCGGCATTATAAGACACACCAATCAACACCCTGTCTGTGTGTGTGTGTGTGTGTGTGTGTGTGTGTGTGTGTGTTCTCTTCCCAGACTGACAAAATGTATAAATTTGTGTGTTTCTTCTTTGCATTGTAAATCAATTGCTGAAATTTGTTAGTACTGCTAATAAATTATAAAAATATTGCATTCAGCTGTTTTTTTAATTTATTACCAACAGATTTTAGCGTTTTACATTTTTGTTGCAATTTATTTATTTATGCTTAAAAATGTAGCCAAAAATCGAATCACTGCAAAGATAGCTAAACGCACAAGTTAAAGCAGTGAGCCCGACTGGAAGATACCCTGCACACAGCGATCAAATATATTGAGTCGAAAAAACACAGCTGCTAAAATAAATCTTAGCTAAATAAATATCGAATTTAAAATGTGTAATATTAAGTATTACATTGGAAAATGATTGAATCCAATTTAAAATTCTAATCGTTGGTGTTTTCCATATTAACATATTTTTTTAAACTTTTATAATATGATTAGTCATCATATCAAAATACAAAAAAATAGTCAGGTTTACGAAAAATCGAAGAAAGCCCGGCTAATAATCTAAAGTGTTTCTTAAACGATCTTAACAGTTGCTCAATGCCCCAATTATGCCTTGATTAGAAAGATATATCTTTGAAATTGCGATTCCAACTGCTAACAGTTATCGATTTTTATCGATAGTAGTTTTTGTTAAAATGAGATAAACTGAAGAAGAAATTATAGTCTAAATTGGGAAGGATCTGTGTCTTTAAGCTCAGAAAACGATATCTTCATTTCTAGACTAGGCCTGGCTGCTCATGCTGATCAGGAATATATATAGTTAATGTGTTCGCACTACGTCATTATACCCTTTTTGCAGATTTCTAATGGATTGGTGGCATAAAAACCTGTTGCACTCTTGCTGCCACGCAGACAAAAGAGCTGTCTCGCCACTGATGATTGATGATTGCTCTCTGCTACACAAAGCATCCCCCCCCCCCACCCCCCATTTTAAAGTCATCTGCCCCAATCAGTCATTATTGTCTGACCATTTTTTTTTTGTTTTGGAGCAGAGGCATAATCAATGCATTCAGCGTTTGATGAGTGCAACAAGAAGAAAATAAGTCATGCGGCATGTGAGTAAGCGATAGAAAGGAATGAGTTTATTGATTGATTGATTGACTGACTGAATGACTGATTGCGTGAATGAGTAGACGCATTGTCTGCGATTGCGATTGCGATGGCGATTGCCATAGTGGCATTTGGCGTTTGCTTCTCTGCTTTTTTGTGTTGTAAGGTGTCCGAACTGCAGCTGCCTCAAGTAAGTAGCTGACAGCGGAGGCTAAAAATATCAAAGACCAACAACAGCACATGATGTGTGTGTGTGTGTGTGTGTGTGTGTGTGTGGGGTGGACATACTTTGTATATTTGCACGCAAGTGGCAATCGTCTGCGTCTTTTGTTGTCTCGACACAGTCTGCTTATCAACAGCAACAACAGCAACAACAGCAACAACAAATAATGACTAACAACACAAAAGTGTCAACAGCAGCAACGACAACAGCAACAACAATCAGCACGACAATGTTGCTTTGCTTTGACGATCGTTGTGGGAGGAGGCAGAGTGGCAGACGGGGGGTGGTGGTGATTGTCTGTTTAAAATTACGTATACGACATGCGCGGCCTTTAATTACAACGCGATCGGACTAAAACACAAAATGTATGCATATCTATTTAATTATTTATTTGCCCACAGCCAATTTATTTATAAATGCAGACAGCAGCAGCAGCAACAACAACAGCAACAGCAACAACAACACAGCCGACCTTGGCATGCTACTCGACGCTGTGTGTGTTCAGCAATTGACGTGGCAAGCGTTGCAAGCATTTTCAAGCATTGCGCATACGTCACGTGTGACGAACGAACAAACAAACGCAGCAACGAACCAAACATCATCATAATATCATAATATCATAATATCATACCATCCAACCATCTACTCAACCAGTACACAGACTGCAACATCTGATTCTCATTGCTCATTGCTCGACTCTGCCCCCTGCCACGCTCCATCTTGCCATTGCCACCCCTTTCACATTAGCGGCCCATCATTGTCTCCAGCAGCGCTCTTATTAAATTATCAACATAAACAATGTCTCGCCGTTTGTGGCCGCGTTTTCCAAATACACGCGTACACTGAGCGAAAAGAGAAAGTTTTATATATACATATATGCTTACATATAGTTGATCAGTGATAGATTGATAGATTTGATGGTTCCTGGAAACCCGAAAGGAAATTCGGCATCTGTTTTGAATCGATTTTATTAGTTTATAGATCTTATAAATAATTTTAAAATATTTCTTATATTTTAATTGAAATGTAATTTGAAATTTTAGTTTTAATTCAATGTAAATAATTGAATTAAAATAAATAAAATATATATTTAATAATAAATAAATTTGAAACTAATTCATAGATTTTATAAATGATTATTATTGATTCGGATTTTCTGCGACTTGAAAATAATTCACAATTTTCGATTGCTTCTTTTGTAAGCGATTTGACGTACGTATTGTAGATGTAGCCAAGCAATTCGCTCAGTGTATCTACTTGTCGAGTGTACTTTATTTTTTTGGCATGTGCAGTCTGTTTTTTCAGTACTGTTTTTTTTTCCGGCTCACTCACATTGTGCGCCAAAGCAAACACAGACATCGTCGTCGAGTGCCAGTTTTGGGTGAGTTGTGGGTTTTTTTTTGCGACTTTGCAACTGTACGTGCGAGGAGGGGGTGGCAAGCAGGCTGGCAGGCTGGCAGGCAGTTAGAGGCAGTTTGTAACCGCAGGTAGGTCGCCTCACCTCACCAGACAGGCCAGAGACCTGAGACCTGAGACCTGAGACCAGAGACCAAACCAGAGACCAGACAATGTTAATTAGCACTTCATGATAAGTTGTCTCAATTGTTGTTACTGCCTGTCGTTGTCAGTGTTGCTGTCATTGTAGTTGCTGTTGTTGTTGTCGTCATCGCTGACTAGCAAACTCAACAAACCTGAACTGAAACTGTGACAATATTTCTTAGAAATCAACCGAGTGATAAAACCATAAAACAAAACAAAACAAAAAGTAATATTAAACTAAATAGCCAATAAGTTGAAGTTGGCCATCATCGACCAGCAGAACACGCTCAGAGAGAGAGTGTTCGACTACCAGATACCCATTACTGCAGCTGCTGATCGGAATTTGTTTAATAATCTGGCTCGTTCTTGCCTGGGCTTGATAAACATTTGCACAGTTGATTATTGTGGGTGATATATTTATACATATATATATAAATATATATAGATCAATTGGAGTGCTATATTTTAACAATTGGTTATTTTATTGCCAACGGAAAACGATTTGTATCAATATTTGCTAAACGGTTGATGTCATCGTTGAAATGAATTAAACTTGATCAGCGTTGGGAATGAGATAATTTATATTCCACATTTGAAGTCTGTAAACTTTTATGGGCTCCGAGTCTGATTTACTTAGACGAACAAGCGTAAATCGAATCGACTTTTAGTGCTGATCAGGAATATATACAGCTGCAGTCAAAATAAAAATAGAAATCAAAATAGAAAAACTTTCAATGTAGTTCGAAAATCATACAAATTTTATTTAAATACTGAAGATAAGTAAACATTAAAAGTTGGCATAGCTATCAAACTTATGAACAATTCATACTTTTTATATTTATTTAAATATTATTTAAATTTATCAATATAATAGTAGTGGAATCATAGTAAAGTTATATAAATAATATTACTAAAAACTAGATATGATGGGTGGTATTTGAAAAATAATAGTATTTTGGAACACTAAATGAGAATGGAAAATGTCTTCATATTGAAAATTTTGTGATATTTTTATAAAATTCTTTGAGAAGCTAGCAATACTATTATCTTGACCGGAAGTGTGCATACTTTGTGGGGTTGAAGATGCTGGGTATAAAAACCAAATCGAATGTTAAAGAGAATTTATAGAAGCGCTAATACATTTTACAAGCTGCCCGCAGCTATTTTTAAAAGCAGACACACAAAAAAAAAGCACCCAAAAAAACGAAGAAAAAAAGGAAAAGAAGAAGAGACAAAGCAGAAACCAGACAGACCCCGATCGCCAGACAATTCGACCCACTGATCTCGCTGAAGGGGAGGGGGTTGGGGGAACGGGGAGGGGTACGAGGTGAGGCGAGTGAGTTTTGCATTGTGTGGCAATAATCAAATAAGAATGTCACAAACGCATGTGATTCATGTCATTAAAAATATACAGAAATAAAACCAAAAATGAGCAAAGATAAAAAATAAAAAACAAAAAAAAACAACAACAACAAACAAGCAGAAACAAAAACACAAATACAAAGACAAATACAAATACAGAAATAAAGAAAGAAAAAAAAGCTGCATAAATAAACTTAATTAACGTGCGGTTTGGCAACCCTCTGCCCCCGACCCCGCCCCCACCATACACAGCCCTTCCACCCGTCGACGACGCTTGTCTGACACTTTAATTTCTTGGACTTTGCACGGCGGCTCAAGACAACAACAACTACAACAACAATGACGGCGATGGCAACAACGACGACGAATAACAGTGAAACTCATTTTGCTAGCAGCAACAACAACCACAACCACAACAGCAACAACGACACCTGCATGCATTAATTGTATTTAGACAAGCGTCTAGGCGAAACAAATAATCATACACACATACACACACACATGCAAACAATTATACTACATATGGACAATTGTTAGCAGAGAAGCTTTAAGTAAATATGTTTGTTGTTGTCCAAGCGCTTTAGAATAATGTCACAGTAAACGGGGGAATTGGA